AGAGAGTGGCGGGAATGCTGTCTAGACAGAAGCTGGTCAGAGTTCAATAGCAGCGATGGGGTGTGAGTGAATTGTCTGGCGAGTTTTTGCTTTGGGAATCGGGGAGATAATACACAGGATCTTCCCCGAGGAGATAAGGCAGGAGGGTGAAGTCCACAATAGATAGGCTTTTCTGTTCCAGCTTAAGAGTGAGATCTTTCTGTTTGGTTCCTGTGATACTGGGTGTTGCTCCTGTAACCGCAAAGTTATAAACAATATTTTCATTAGGTTCAATGGCTTCTTAATGTGAGTGATATTTTTTGTAGCCAGGCACGGAAAATCTGAAAAATAACCTGGATATATTTCTCAAGGTATCACGTATTTTGCCGTTAAGGCCAATAACCCACACATTCCAACAAATATCATTGGCATTTCTATGTACATATTGAAATGTCTTCACAGTTGAATCAATGGTTGCATTTCACATTCCCTAATGCTAGACTGTTTTTTAATGACAAGATAGAAGTTTTGATCACTTGATCTACTCAAGAATTCAGTCCCCATAGGCTGGCAAGATAAACAGCTATTTAACAGCTTAACAGAGAGATGATTCTCTGATGGACAGATAAATATCTCTTAGTGGTGGGAGGGAGTGAACAAAAATAAATAATAATAATACTTGCATTTCACAAATTTTACACAGATGTCTCAAAGCGCTTCACACAATATACTGTAAAGTAAATTGACTGTATATTTTGTGGGCGAAATGCAGCAGCCAATAGCACACAGCAGCGTCCCATAGACAGTTGTGGATTGAGATTTTTTTAAAGGAGTTATTACGCCCAGAAAGCGATCCGCCAACCGACCAACAACTGAGTTCCTACTTAGTGCTATGTAAACAGTGGTGTGTGGAGTAAAGGAAACTTGCCCAAGGTTTCGCCCCCTGCCCGGGAATCAAACCCAGGTCCTCTCGCTTGCGAGGTGAGTGCTCTAACCACTGAGCTGCAGGACTCCACAGCAAACTCCTCCTCCAACAAACTGAGGAGGAGATGACCTGATGACTGTAGAGCTGTGCTCCAGGAGAAAGGAAACAGGATTCAAATATCTTCAGCAGAGAGGAGGAAATGGAAGAAGAAGCCACTATGGCCCCAAACTCCGGAACTCCCTGCCTCAATCTCTCTGGTTTGCCTGTCTTCAGATCGCACCTCAAAATCTTCCTCTTCGACCGCGTATATGATCACTTCCCCCTTCACTTCGGCTCAGCCATTGAGATGTCCTGAGATGCTCCACCACGCGAAGGTCGCTATGTAAACACAAGTTGTTGTCGTTGTCGTCTCCCAGGGCACACAGCATGGTGATTAGCGCCCGGACACTCCATCCACTGGAGGTTTGAACCCCACGTTGTTGCAAACGCAATTTAAATTCAATTAAAATTCAATACAAGTGTGAGAGAAAATGATCCAGATCAGCATTTGTTTTGGGCCAAGTGTCAAAACAATTTATTTTTTTAAAAACGGGAAGTGAAGGAAAGACTTTGGGAATTTAGCGAAGTGCTGCAGTGGTTGTTAACTGATATGTCATTCGTTCTGTAGGTTAAGCAAGCCTAAACTGGTTGGGCAGACTTAACCTTGGCACCACAAGCCTTTGCGCGTCCATGTTTTGCAATTTCAAACCTGTGTAACTCAACTGCACCCAAATCTGCCTTCAAAGCACAGTCAGAAATCAGCAGCAGTGACTCACGTTTGGGAACAAGATCGTCCCTTCATTAAAGAAATTGAAGTAAAGAAATGGAAGCATTAAACTTTCATTTAATAGTATTATCACCAATTTGGAGAATTCCGCCACCCCCTTCCCTCCTTCCCCAGGAACAACTTTTGTGAGTTGCAGGGGTCCGTTAGGTAACTTGAGTCTGATAGTCTTCATCTCGGTAAGAATGGAGTTTTTCTTTTTCGTGAAGTGTTTATGAAATTACATATTTACGAGCAGTTTCTCTCCATGGGTTTTTCCCGTAAGCATTGTTGTCCAAAGCTCCTTAAAAATGCCAGATAATGATTCGAATGCGATTACTCTTAAAAGACATCACGGTTCTGGTTAGGTTGTTTTCAGTCAGATTGCGTGGCTTTTTGGTCAACCTGACACACGCGGAAACCCATGGAAACCCATTAAGAGCATCCAAACCAGACTGAGAGTGCCTCCTGCAACTTTCAACAACTACCTTTCCTAACATCTAACTCTTACACCTACCTTTCAACTATGTATGCCGTCTCTAGGCATGGAAATTCCCCGGTGTCTGGAATGGAATACACACTCCCTACCTGGAGAGACACACCCTCTTACCTAATTCCAGAGAGTGTTAGCCCTGGTTGGCAGCAGCCAAGCATCTGGGATTCCCGGAGTTTGCTTGGGAAACTGCTGGAGTTCAATAACTAATATTGGGTAGGTTGCAAATTGAGAACCGGATAATGGCGGTGAATTATTTTACCGTACAACAGGACTGCCTTTCTCCCACTGTCCGTCAGTCCAGCCTGAACAAGGCGCTGGACAGTCAGGGATTTGGACCCAAGTTGGGGGTTGGAATCAGGAGGGTGGAGGGTAGGAGGGTGGCCGAAGGCACGGCTGAAGAGGAGGATCTTGAGACGTGCCTTGAAGGAGGCAAAGTGGAATGCAGTTCCGAAGGGTGGGGGCAGAAACACTGAAGGCCCGACCGCTGATGGTGGGGCGGGCCGGGCGGGAGACGTGGAGCTAGCTGGAGCCTGGTGAGCGGAGGGAGCGGACAGGTTGATATGATAAAGCTTCATTAGTGCATTACTATATTACATCCTTTGCATTTCCCTTGTTCATTAGGTTATTTATCTCTCACCACCCTTTGTTGAATCCAAACTGCTGATCCTTTATCAAACTGTTTTCAGATGTTTTCCCCCCACCCACAGGATCCCTTAAAACTGTTAGGATTTCTTTAAAAGTGACGGGTCTGCAGTTGCTATAAATATCTCCCTTTTAATGGAATTTTGTTTCCCCTTTTTCATTCCTCGGGGATCTCTCTAGAATCCAGTGAATGTTTAAAAATATCTTAAAGCCTTTCTAATTTCTACCCCCTTCCCTTCCCTCCTTAACACCACTTGCTTTAAACTATCTATGCCAACTGCACCTGGTGCTTTTCTGTGTGACTTTCTTTCCTAGATGTTTTATAACAATTTCCTTCATTATTCCCTTGCTGCCTGGCTTCTCTTCAGCTGTCCCTGGCAATCCGATTTCCTGACGAAATGTGGTCGGTTATGAAGTACAGTTGCTGGAATTAGTGAGGTCACTTCATACCTACAGTGTGTGGCAAACTGAGCTAGACTGTTCATGGAGAGGAACAAGCTTAGAGTTTAGTCCTATAATGGACACATTATGAAATATATAATATATATAATATGTAATAATTCTTGCATTTGACACAGCTCCTTTTCACGTCTTCGAGACGTCTCAACGTCCTTCACAGAATACACTGTAAAGTGAATTGACTGTATATTTTGTGGGCGAAACGCAGCAGCCAATTGCCCACAGCAGCGTCCCACAAACAGTCGTGGGTTGAAGTGACCAAAGGGACAAAAGGGGATCTTCCAAGTCGCTGTAGTATTCGTGGCCATCCACTTCCTGAGCCAGGCGGGTCCATAGTATTCCAGTCCACTATGATGACAGCTCAGCTAGGGCTTGTTGGCAGGACATTGAGGGGCAAACCGGCCACTGTGGCCAGGGATTAATGATATTTACCTACCATGACCCCGCAAGCCAAAACCTGAAGTGGCACAGTGATCTGAGCTGGATAAGCTAAATGCTAAACTTGCCAGATACCGCTTTTAATGTAAGGCCAATGTGGTTCTTTACGTCTGCTTGGTGGATAGAATGTATTTATACCATACGTCAACTTTAACAGATATGATCTTATCAATTTTTTCTTCACATGCAATGCCATAAAGTGGCAGATGTTTAAAAGTACAATTGCATATTTTTTTTTGTTTCCCGCCTCCATGCCCAGAGTTCCTTGACGGTTGCGTTAATTGAATCCTACGTTATAACTTGCGTAGTGTTACGTAGAGACATGGGAACAACAACAACAACATTTATACGCAGAGTAGCGTCCCAGAGTGCTTGACAGTGGCACTGGGGGGTGAGGGGAGGTGACCCTAGGCACGGCCAAAGAGAAATGTGCCATTTCATCCCACCAAATCCGTGAATTGACTGTATATTTTGTGGGCAAAACATACTTGTCTAGGATTACTTGTTTCCACTGAAAAAAAATCAATGATCTGATAAATATTGACCTGGGGGTGAAAAGCAAGATTTTTTTAATATAAAAGTGTATCCTTTCGGAAACTGGCCCATCTCACGACTTAAAACTATTTCCTCAGCAGTGCAAGGAGGCAACGCACCTTTTCACCTAAGTTACGCTCACAAAATAACGCTCACAGTCACTGCACTTTACAGTATATTCTGTGAAGCGCTTTGAGACGTCTCGATGCCGTGATAAGGCGCTATGCGAAATGCATTATAATATAATAATAATCCTTGCATTTGATCTGGCGCCTTATTGAAGATGTCTTCGAGACGTCTCAAAGCGCTTCACAGAACGTACTATGAAATGAAATGACTGTAAACTTTGTGGGCAAAGCGAAATATACAGGATGTTGAGTATTATGGTGACTAAGCTCAGGAGAAAACCTTGAATTTCCTTTTCTCAATCTTTCTTGCCCTGCCTCTCGTTCTGTCTGTCTGTCTCTCTCTCTCTCTCTCTCTCTTCCTGTTCTTTCAGAGGCTGTGTTAAGTTTCAATGAGTTGCGAGGGCTGAACTACTACTGCTGTGTGTGGAGTGAAGTCTAACCACAGGAAGCCAGAGGCTCTTGGTGAGTGAGCGAGGCAGCAGAGAAAAGGAGGAGGATGCACACTTTGCGTCAGTGAGTCAGTCGCTCGCAGATTTTTTTTTGTGAGAAGGGAGAGAGAGAGAGAGAGAGAGAAAGAAAGAGAGAAAAACTGAAAAGAAAGAAGAGAGCGAGCGAGAGAGAGAGAGAGAGAGAGAGAGGCCAGGACAAACCCTGATCTTCTGCCAACAATGTTCATGTCCAAAGCTGTCAGCCGGCTGAGCCGCAAGCGACCACCTTCAGGTAATCTTTCTTTTGACAAAAGGGGAAACAAAAACCCACCATCGCATTCAAGTCAGCCTTGCTTTTCTGCTTCCCCAGCTTCAAAGCTTCGCGTCCTTTTATTCTCTCATGATTTTGTTGGGAGGATTTGTTGCCAAACTCACCGACCAACAGATTTCTCTCTCTCTCTCTCTCTCTCGCTCTCTCTTTTTGCTGAATGTGTAAAAGTTTCTGTGTGGTTTGGACCTTTTTCTTTAGTTCTGTATAGTTCTGTTCGGTTAGGTTAGGCACAAGGCTTTTTTTGGTGGTTTACTGTCAGACTGTCTGAGGGGAAAATGAGGAACTTTTTAGTGACTATAGTTTACAGGGAACAGATAAAGCAGGTTTCCACTTGTTTTCTGCGTGTCAGTTTGATTTTTACTTGCGATTTCCTGCAAAAGTGTGTGTGTGTGTGTGTTTGGGGGTGGGGGGGGTGGGTCTGTGTCCTGTCTGTTTTCTAAATATAGATCCTGTTGGTTTAATCCATGTTTTAACTGCAATGAAATAGTGAAGGATTGATTGAAGGAAAAGTACTTCCTTCAATCTCTCTCTCTCTCGCTGACTCTCTCCTCACGCTCCTTTACTTCTACTCTCTGTGATAATCTCCCTAGCACTGAAAATCCATAGCATTCAGAGGTATTGGAGGAATATGTCAAAGGAAACTTTTGGGAACTTGGGAAGGAGACTAGATAGATAAATGATCTACTCTTGCTTCCAACTGTTTCTGTGCAACTTATCCTCCAAACTGTTAGGAACATAAGAAATGCTAGAAGGAAAAAAGACCAAGGTGCATCTAGTGCACCTTCCTGGCGGTCGCATATGTCCCAAACTACCTATGTACTATCTCCCATGATGTTATTTCCTAAAATAAAACAATCTAATCTGTGTTTGAAGGAATCAACACTTCCTGCTTCAACCGTCTCCCTGGGGAGTCTGTTCCACAGGTTCACTATTCGCTCACTAAAATAGTGTTTCTGTAGATTTGTTCTGAATTTACCCGCCTTCAAACGCAGGCCGTGTCCTCTGGCTTTACTATTCTGGACAAGTTGAAACAGCCTGCAATGATCTACATTTAGCCCCCTTTAGCATCTTAAAGACAGCAATCATATTGCCTCTCAATCGTCTCTTTTTCCAGTGTGAACCCACCCAATTTACTTAGTCACTCTTCGTAGTCCAGTCCCTCCATTTCCTCAATCAATCTGGTTGCCCTCTGTATCCTCTCGATTTCTCCCATATCCTTTTTGTACTGTGGCGACCAGATTCCACTTAGAGTTGCAAGGGAAGATGGGTTATGATGAGAAGATAGTAGGGTGGGTGTTCTTGAACGATGAGAACAAATTGACTTTTTCATCTGAACTTCTCTTATGATCTTGTGCCATTTGCCGCCTCTGCAGGAGGGTTAACCTAGTTCTAGCTTTTAATTCAGATATCTATAGTTATCTTAAATCGTGATGTTTGGTTTGGTCAGCCGGGTGTCTGACCCATCACCGAGTCTCCAAACCAAGCTGAGAATTCCATGCATCCCATCTACACATGGAAATTCCAGGGATGTTTGTTGGGATGGAATACACATTCTCTCTCTCTCTCTCTCTGGAGGGATGCATCCTGCTTACCTAATTCTGGGAAGTATTAGGGCGCAGGTTGTCAAGAGCCAAGCTTGGGGACCCCAGAGTGTGTGTTGGGCTAACTGCTGGATTCTAACCAGCTAAGCCTGCGTAGCTTGCCATCGAAAGCACCGCCTGACAAGCTTTCCCACTGTTTGTCCAGCTAGGACCACCCTAACTGTTAGGGCTGTGGCTTGCAGGGTTGACAAGAGCTGAGTGGGATGACTCCCTGCCCCCAGTGAGTGGTCTGTCCTTCTAAGCCCTGCCGATGTGCCAGGCCGGGCTGTGCTGTCATCAATAGTGAGTGCCCGGGAATACTGCAGACCCGCCTGGCTCAGGAACTGGACTAGACACCGTCACAGAGGGTGGGCTTGTTTCTGACATTCCATTGCCAGGCACGTCACCTTGAAGCCAGTTCAGCTCCAAGGAGACCCCACTTACCCCCTCCCCCACCCCAAAGAGTATCATCACTTAGTGGTCATTTGACATGTACATTTAAGCGCTCCGAGACGCCGTCCGGTGTGAAGGGCACTATATAAATACAAGTTGTTGTTGTTGTTGCTGCACAAGCGTAAGCCCACACTAGGTGGTTGACAGGCACCTGAAGATCCCTGTGAGCTTCCTGATGGACAACACAACTCAGCACGAAATGCATGAGAGCATTGCCACCACATTCCTGCCCACAGTTTAGACGCACATCCCTTCACATTGGGTGATGATGATTCCATCAGTTGCGTCAGCTTGAGCCGCTTGACTTTCTGCAAACCATTTCAGATGGACTCCAAGCACGGGATGTATGAATGCACTCTTTAATTTTGATGACAACAAGAGCTGATTAGATGTGAAGGAATAGAAAGGTTTGTCATGTTTTGGGGTTCAGTTGTTTACCATTCGTAACTTTCTCTTATGTATTAACTGTGATGCAATACCATTGCTGAAATGCGATGATTCACCTGAACAATATACCTTAGCACCCGTGTGAAGTGAGATGTAATGATGAAGCACTTTAGTTCTCTTGTTTGATTCAAGTTTCCACTAGCATAATAAGTATTCATTATTCGGCATAAATTTCGGTTTACAAAATGCTTCAGATGGTCCACTCTGATAGCATTCACCACTGTGGTGAGTCACAGACATGTGTGCTCCTGAATTTGAGCGATATATACTCCAATCACCAAGTCAGGGCAATGATTTGCAATCGAAGGGGGGAGGGGTGGGGGTAAATTCGGAACAAATCCGCGGAAACGCTACTTCAGTAAGCAAGTAGTAAACGTATGGAACAGGATCCCGAGGGAGAAATTAGACAGATTTCTGCTAGAAAATATCTTGGTGATCCAGTATATCATTTGGGACATGTCAAGAGACTGCCAGTACGGTGAAAGGCGAACTAGATGGACCTTGGTCTTCTTTTGCCAGGCAAACTCTTATGGTCTTAATATGAAAATTCTCCATATTTTTCACTGTAAGTTGCCAATTCGGGATCTTTTGGGCCCATAACCCAGGCCGTCACACCAGTGAGGTTCTCGGGGATTGCTGCGTTGCCAGAGATGCTGTCCTTTGGATGAAACCATGAAACCAAATTTCAGTTTGCCTGTTCAAGGTCCCAATACACTATTTGGAAGGAAAAGGAGGTTTCACCCAATTTCCTGACCAGCATTCTCCATATTAATTGATTATTCATTCCAAGGTGTTTCTGTCACTTTCCTTGCGTAAATGGGTTGCCTTCAAGAAAACGTCACTACAATTTAATTATAATTATCTGCATGGTGGGTGGATAGGTACAAAGGCTGTGGGCTGTTGCAACATTATTGGCGCTATAATAAATGCGAGGATTATCATTATTATAACTTCGGTTTCTAGGGTGCTTCATAAAATATAACCGCATACTCTGTATCATGAGCAATTTAAAAAGTTCGCAAAATAGAAGACCCAGGGGAAATAGTCCTGGTCTTGTACTTTGCAACACCAGCTATCACCACCCTCTCACCCTCCATATCCTCCCGTCCCCATTAAAATTCTGCGAAGCCTTGAAATGTGAAAGGCACTATATCAAATGCAAGGATTATTATAACTAATAGGAGCATTTGCACAGCGACCCTAACGTATGGTAGAGTCCCAGAACCCTTGACAGTGGCGGAGCACGAAGCACGATGCAGAGCTGGGGGGAGGATGACTGTAGGCACCGGTCGAAGAGGAAGGTCTTCAGGCCCGACCTGAAGATGGGGAAGGAAGGGGCCAGGCGGAGTGATAGAGGAAGAGTGCTCCAGGGTTTCCGGGGGTAGTGGCTAAAAACATGGCCACCGATGGTGGAACGGAGGGCACGAATTACCAATTTAATTTACCGAATAAAGTTCACAGCTCTCCCCGTCTTGCCTTGCAACTGCTTTCCCATGTTACTTGGGGTGTTACATCATGGAGCAAATAGAGCAGAGGGCGTCATTCTCATGTCAGTGACAAGAGGAGGCCTGCTTATGTAGCTATAATCCCTTAAATACAAATTGTATAGTGCAATAATTGGATTAGCATTTAAAAATCACGGCACCATAGAAAATGCACAATAGTCTTGAATTCCAGTCTGAGTGGGCAATTTCCTACCATTCCTGTTGACAGGGTAGATCTCGAATTGCCACATTCCATTTACAAATGTCCCCAGTTTCTGCTTCGCGAATCTAGTTTCTACTTAACACAAAATCAGGAACCAACAGTGCAGAGTTAAGAGCGGTGCTACTTGTGAAGCAGATCTTCTCAGTCACCGCCACTGTTGTGTAAAAGTCTCTGGAATGGATCGGATTCCAAACATAATTTTTGGTGAGTAAGTTTACACTGATCATAACCTTAAATGCGTCTGATTTATTTCTGAGACACTGTTGTGTATTTAACCTTCTGACCCCAAATGGTTCTCTACAGTGAATGGGTTGCTATTCAGAAAGCCATGTCCATCATGGTCAGTGCAGCGCTATTATCAAATCAACCGAGCTCTTCCAAATGTGATAACGACTGATGCGATGATGTAAAGGTGAAACCGCCGGATAGTCATAGAAGTGTGTGTGACCTCAGTATATAGTTTGGGAAACGAAACATCAAGTGACTGCTAGGATCGCGGAAGGCGAACTAAATGGACCTCGGTCTTCTTTCGCCCAGCAAATTCTTATGCTCTTATTATCTTAGGCAACTACACACTGCTGCTGTCTGGAGTCGTGCTATTTTATTTTATTCCATTTGGACTGAATAATCAATCAAAGTACAATTAAGTGTTGGTGAATGCCTCTGATCCTGTTAATCACCTAATTTGGACAGTGTTCATTTCCTTACGCCTTGGGCTTAGAACATATCAATGAGTTGAGCAAGGAAATGAGATTCAAGTGATTAACTCCAGCGGGAGAAGCTAGCCCCTGCATAGGAATGATGAGCCAAATGGCTATTTTCCGTGCTGCAGCCAGTCACACAGACTGTCCCAATTGCTAGGATTGCCTCTGATCAATTGTGAATTTGTGAAGCGATTTTTGTACTTTGTTCTCCTTTCGTAAATTAGTTGAACCAAAAAATAACCTATTGGTTCTTTTCTTGTTGAAATGTGACATTAATCATTCATTGTGCACCTTATTAGTGATCTCCTGTTGGGAAATCCACCACAACACTTTGTAATTACATGGTGTGTTTTGCTCCCACGACTGTGTTAGCAACCAACGACTCTTTGTTCTAACGTAGAAACTATAGCAAAACAAATAGAGATGTGCTGCATTTTTCCTCACATTGGATCAGTCTCTTGCTGCCTCCACGTTGTCTCTATCTTCCAAGGATTGGCACAGGGACACAGTGAATTCACTTTATAGTATTTTCTGAGAAGCGCTTTGAAACGTCTAGAAGACGTGATAAGGCCCTATATCAAATGCAAGAATTATTATTATTGTTATTATGATTATTATTAGGAACACATTTGAGCTTCTTGATTGCCATTGGCTCAGTGTGTTTCACAAGAACAGAGAAGAGAATTGACTTCAGAAGTGTTCAAAATTATGAGGGCTTTTTGATGAAGTAAATGGGGAGAGACTTTTTCCACCGGTTGTTGAGTTGGTAACTTGATTGGCACTGAAGTGTGGAACTAAACAGAGAGACAGCACAGTGACAAGTGGCTAAAGACCTCCTCTGTGCTGTAAAATCCCATGATTATATAAGGGATGTGAAACTGGCTATGAAGACCTTTTTACTCCATGGAACTTAAGGGAAAAAATAATAATTCTTACATTTTATTTCATGTCTTATCACGTTGTCGAGACGTCTCAAAGCCCTTCACTGTATTTTACTTTGAAGTGCAGCGACTGTGTATTTGTAGGCTAACGTGGCAGCTAACTTGCATAAGGCATATATAGAGTTGTGTTAATTTGGGGAGTAACCCATGATAGCTTGTGTACACTAAAGACTGGAGTGAAACTGATCCTGAATCCACTTCTCCTTTAAAGTCAAGTGACTTTAGATCTCCATCTCCTTTTCTGGAGCCCCGCCACCACAGACATGAGATATTAAGAACTGTAACCGATACCAGGATGCTTAGTCAGCAGTGGATTACAGTCATATCGTTTTTTACAGAAATGAAGGAGCTCCAGAGCTCTCATGAGCTCACAGCAATGATCGCTGTTCATCCTGTCTGGGCTTTAGGGCTTTTTGTAATTAGGATCTGAGAGCAAAGGCACAAGAGCTGAAGCAGCTGTAACTGTAACGACAGCAGCATTTCTCATGAAATGGTAGAGAACCCCTTGAAGTCCGTGCTAGACTTCAACGGTGACAATAACTGGCTTTGCTGGTGGAATCAACCGTGCTTTTTGGCCTCTGGTAGACTGAGAGTCCCCATTCATCTCGTGCAGCGATGTTGTGTTTGCTGGCCCGTGGTACTGAGTTGGGCAGGCCGTTAAGATGGCCTCTTGCAGCTTGTGTTGGAACTGCATCCAGCAAGAGTAACAGCCGATGAGGAAACGTAGAAAGAGGCTACAGTGCTGGTAGGTAGCATTGGCAACGCAACAACAACAACTTGTATTTATATAGCGCCCTTCACACGGTGGATTCTGTTGCCGAGCCAAGGGGAGAGGGAGGAGGGAAGGGAGGAAGGGAGGTGGGAGGTGACTGTAAGCACGATCAATAAAGGAAGGGATTTGAAAGTGGTTGAGGGAGCGGGCAAGGCGGAGGGATTGAGGGAGAGAGTTCCAGAGTTTCAGGACGCAGTGGCTGAAGGCACGGCCCCCAATTTTTCATCTCCACGGCTGAGAGCCGAGGGTGAGGATAGACTGCAGCAGTGCGGTGTGGCTCAGTGTCAGTCTGCGTTTTTGCCATTACTGTAGCAACGCGAGTCCTGTTTACGCTGTGTAGCAAAACGTTGTGCATTTTATTTATGTTCGCGAAAACCATTTCCAAACATTTTTCCATTCCACCTCAAAATATTTCCACATTACTCCTGCTGAATCATTACTTTATCAAGTGAAAGTTTTTTTGTAAAAAATAATAATATTATTATTGAGCTTAACTCCATATCCATTGAGATAGCCATCGATGGATGGATACAATAAATATCTGGAATGGAGTGCCTACTCTCTCCCCGGAGGGACGCAATCCTACCTACGTAAATGCCAGAGCGTTTTGGGCACAGGTTGGCTACAACCAAGGCTTACTGTTCCTATAGTGTGCGTTGAAGTACTGCTGGAGTTTAATCAGTTTGACCAGGCACCTGGAACCCAGTTCAACTTCAAAGAGACCCCACTAACCCTCCCCTCCTACCCCCGCGTAGGTTAGTCTCCGATTACGCCTTTAATGAAATGACAAAACAATAATAATCCTTGCATTTGATATAGCACCGTTTCACAGCGTCGAGACATCTCGAGGAGCTTCACGGAATATACTGTAAAGTGGATTGACTGTATTTTGTGGGCGAAACCGGCAGCCAACTTGTTGATGATTAACTGCAAACCTGAGGGAGTTAGAGCAATGAGAGTTCGAGTGGAAAAGAAAATCAAGTTTCCATTCAAAAGCAAAAGTAACAATAATCCTTAACCCTTGCATTTGATGGAGCGCCTTCTCACGTCTTCGAGACGTCTCAAAGAGCTTCACGGAATATACTGTAAAGTGAATTGACTGTGTATTTTTGTAGGCGAAAGGTAGCTCTGTAGGCTGAACAACACCCCAACAGGTCATACTTGGCCTCGATGGGAAATACTTTGAACAACTCATTGCACTGCGACGAGTCTGTACAAGATAACAGACATGCTGAAGACATGTCCACTGGCTGCCATCACCTGTCATCCATTTCAAACAGACCCTTCAAAATTATTGCTTAAAACACTCCCATTGAGAGGCCCCGGTGATTAAAGATAACCAGAACACTAAAACTGGAGGAATAATCATTGCGATACTGAAAAGAACTCTGTAACAAGTACCAATCACTGACACTATTTATCTGCTGAGTTGCCCATCTCCTTCAAAGGTAAGACAACCCGGAAAGTATGGTGTGAAAATTGCAGCCAATGTTAAAATTCAGCCTGGCGCAGTTGGTAGCTCTCCTGTCTTTGGGACGCTATCCCGCGTGAGGAGCGCTGTATAAATGCAAGTTGTTGTTGTCAGAACATTGTGGGTTCAAGCCTCATGTTTCACCCACAAAATATACAGTCCATTCGCTTTACTGTATATCCTGTGAAGCGCTTTGAGACGTCTCGAAGGCGTGATAAGGCGCTCCATCAAATGCAAGGATAATTATTATCATAATACCCTCCTACCCTCTCTGCCCTCCACCCTCCCTGGTCCCAATCCACCCCCTCCATCCCCCCCACCCCAGCTCGGGTCCTAATCCCTGACTGTTCAGCACCTTGGGACGTCCTCCCGACGTGAAAGGTGCTTCACAGATGTAATATTGTATTGTATTATGTTGGGGTTTTGAGCCCTTGTAGTATAGGTTGACATTCCAGTGCAGTGCTGGGGGTGGGCTGTTGTTGGAGGTGCTGTCCTTCAAAAGAGACATTAAATTGAATTTTTTTTTAACCTTTTCACCTTTTTTTTTCACAGAGATCCACGATGATGCACGTGCCAGCAGTAGTCAACAGAGCACAAGAGGAACCTCCAAATGGGCCATTTCATTAGAACACCTCCTAGAAGATGAGGAAGGAGTGAAACATTTTAGGGTTTGTGTAGTTCATACATTTTATTTTAAACAGTTGAGATGTCGCAAAGACGTGATAAGGCGCTGTATCAAATGCAAGGATTATTATTATTATTATTTTTCTCTTCTTAACTGGGGGGAACGGAAGGGGGAGCAAAATCGAGAGTGGCACCTCAACTACCTTCACCCACAATGTATCCATAAGTGCTGTGGGATGTCCTCCCGATGTGAAAGGATCTATACCAAACTTAAGGATTATTATTATTTCTGCTGCCCCAGCATCTAAAATTAGTTAACTCGGAACAAACCTGTGACTCTCTGGTCTGTATGTGTGTCAGCTTGGCTCAGTGGTAGCACTCTCGCCTCTGAGTCAGAAGGATGTGGGTTCAAATCCCACGTTGGGACGTAAACTCATATAGTTTAATGTGATACTTAAATGAGTGCAGGGGGTTGGTGTTGAATTGTCGGAGGTGACTTCCTTCAGATGTCACACTGAGATGCCATTTGCCTGCTCAAGTGGACGTTAAAGATCCCATGGCACTATTTGAAAAGAGAAGAGAGTTCTCCGGGATTATTCGCCAATAATCCCACAAAATAAAAAAAAAATGGTCATTGAATTCATGGCTGTTTGTGGGACATTGCTGTGTGCAATTGTGCTGCTGCATTTGCCTACAAGTACTCAGTCACTCCATTTCACAGTAATCCCTGTGAAGCGCTTTGAGATATCCTTCCAACGAGATAAGGCGCTCTATCAAATGCAAGGATTATTATTATTATTATGGCCTAAATTCTATTGTTGTATTGAGAGCTCTGTTTTCACCCAATGGCAACTGGGAGAGTTCTTCTTTCTAAAGCAAATTTTTCACTTGAACTTTATTTTTTTGGTCACTGTGATCAATAATAAATCAAACTACTACCACTAATAATGATCCTTGCATTTGATATGGCACCTTTTCATGTATTCGAGACGTCTCAAAGTGCTTGACAGAATACATTGCAAAGTGTAGTGACTGTGTCTTTTGTGGGCAAAACGCGGCAGCCAATTGCGCACAGCAGCGTCCCACAAACAGTCGTGGATTGAGTGACCAATGAATCACTTTGTGTGAATCACTTGAGTTTCTACCGGTTTGTGAAAAAAGCTGACTCTTGTGCAATAAGCTGTTTCACAACTAAAATTCTCTTTCCTCTCTATTTTAATGTATTTTTCATGTATCCCTCGCTCGCCTTATTCTCTTTCTGTCCCTCTCTCTAGTTTTCATTTTCTTTCCCGACCCACAAGGTATCTCCAACAGTAAAATATATGAATCAACGGGATTTGGGCTTGGGACGTCCTCCCGACTGTTCAAATGTAACTTGTTGTTTTTGTCGTTGTGCCATTTGTGTGCTTTCTTTATGTCTGTTGTTTAAACAAACGAAAAAAAGCGTTGTTTCGTGATAAACTGGAACATGTGATGACCCTTTTCTCCATTTGCTTGTGGAAAAAAGGCACGGCTGAAAGAATAGGTAGAATCTACACCATCAGCATCTAAATAATAATAATACTTGCATTTGATGTAGCACCTTATGACTTTGTTGAGACATCTCAAAGCGCTTCGCAGGATTTTACAGTGAAGTGTAGTGTTTTTGCTGGCCAAGATTTACACCAGAAATACTCAGCATCTCAGCTCTGTCGTGACGCTGTGAGCATTTGTTGAAAGCTTTATTAATAGTTATTATTTTTTGATGACTGATGTAAATGAGAACTAGACATCAGGAAACAACGTCAGTTGACAGAGGAACTAAGATGAAGCACAGACAAAAGGCTGCACAAGTTGCGTTAAACTATATCCTGTTGAGGGAAATGAAATGCATTACGTTTCTCCGAGGGTGGTAGACATGTGTTGACAGTGTTTGTTTACAACACAAAAATGTAGTATTGTCAGACTGGCTCAGTTGGTCGCCTCTTGCCTCTGAGTCACAATGCGGTGGGTTGAAGCCCCACTGTTGGGACTTTTGAGCTCATAGGTTAGGCTGACGTTCCATGTGCGGTGCTGGGGGTACCCTGCAGCGTCAGAGGTGCCATCCTCGTGTTGTTGTGACATTTCGACGGTGAGGATGTGATGAGGCACTATGTCAAATGCAAAGATTATTATTATAATGTGAAAAGAAATAATAATAATAGTCCTTGCATTTGATATAGCGCCTTATCACGTCTTCGAGACAATAACAACAACAACAACAAGATTCCATTTATAGAGCGCCTTTCACGTCGGGACGTCCCAAGGTGCTGTCAGGACCCGAGCAGTGGGGGAAATGGTCAGGGTGAGGGGAGGGAAGGGAGGGGGCGAGGAGGGGGTAGAGAGTCGAGAGAGGAGCTGAAGGCTCGGTCAAAGAGAAAGGTCTTGAGACCGGCCTTGAAGGAGGAAAGGGAGGAAGCGGCGAAGGCACTGGGGGATAGAGTTCCAGAGCCTCGGGGACGTCTCAAGGTGCTTCACAGAATGTACTGTAAAGTGAATTGACTGTACGGCAGCGTCCCACAGACAGTTGTGGAGTGAGTGACCAATTTATTGTTTTTTTTGAAGGAATTATTATCCCCGGAAAAGCGATTCGCCGGTCGACTAACAATCGGGTTCCTACTTACTGCTGGGTAAACAGAGGCGTGTGTGTGGAGTAGGGAAACTTGCCCAACGTTTCGCCCCGACTGGGAATCAAATGCAGGTCTCTCGCTTGTGAGGCGAGTGCTCTAACCACTGAGCTACTGGTAGACTGGGAGGTGGATACAATTGAGGGGGGGTTGGGGGGGTGCAGTTCAATGGGATAGGTCAATCTCCATGAGGTATCCTAGATTTCAACAGGGTCATTTTTACTCACGAAAACTGCTGTTCCTTTCTGGGTAAAATGCTGCCAGTATGAAGTTCCCAACAAGAGCAAGACAGAGGCTTGTTGGTGGAAGAGAGAGTGCGCGCAGAGATCGTGAGAAACCTTCCCAGGATGCGGATTACATGTACCGTAATTGTATGACTGGTATCATTGTGTTCTGACTACCTCTGCTCTTTGCATAAGTGTGTGTCAATCTGGCTGGATATCAGCGCTCTCGGCTCTGAGTCAGAAGTTTGTGGGTTGAATGCCCACGTCGGGACTTGGAATCACATTTTCTGAGCTGACAGTCTAACGCAATGCTGGGAGTGGTGTTGTATTGGCGGAGGTGCCTTCCTTGGGATGAGACCTTAAGTCGAGATCCCGTCTGCCTGTTTAGGTGGACGTTAAAGATCCCGTGACACTATTTCGAAAAGAGAAGAGAGTTTCTTGGTCAACTATCGCCCCTGCCCAGTTTCACCCATTNAAAAAAACACTTTACAGTATATCCTGTGAAGCTCTTTGAGCAGTCTCGACGATAAGTGGCTATATCAATCACCAGAATTTTTATCTATTATTATTCCGAATTATCTTCCACCTTTTTTTCTTGTCTTTCCTCTGCAGGATTTTCTGAAGCGGGAATTCAGCGAGGAAAATGTTTTGTTTTGGTTAGCGTGCGAAGAGTTCAAGCATATTCAAGACAAGAGGCTGGTGAGTGTATGTGCGGACAGCACAAGAGTGTGGTTGCATGTGAGATCTCACCTTCTACAAACCGTGCACGAGGAGAGAAATGATCCTCTTTGAACGTGTTTTTGGTCATCCTCACCTCCCCACTCCATTGATACCCTGACCTAACAGACCAAAGTCTCATGCTGAATAACACTAGGTTAAGAGCGTTAATACACTAACGAGCTACGCCACTCAGCAATACCTCATTCTCTATAAATAACAACAATAATAATAATCCTCGCGTTTGATATGGCGCCTTATCATGTCTTCGAGACGTCTCAAAGCGCTTCATAGAATGCACTGTAGAGCAAATTGACTGTGGGTTTTGTGGGTGAAACACGGCAGCCAATTGCATATAGCAGTGCCCCACAAACAGTCGTGGATTCAGTGAGTCATTCTCTTTCCCCCTTTCACCACACACAAGCGCACATTCACACACACACATACATGTACACAGCACCACTATTGCCGATTGCGCTCACATCCATACATTCCTTGATTTTGCCCCTTTTCTAAACCGTGGGAATGCTGCAATTAAAATGGTTGCCAGTCGATGTAACCAGCAAAGGGGAACTATAAATTGGACATTCCAGAGGATATAAGATGGCTTTCAGAGAGCTGTTCAGAGGCTGCTCGCAAATTTTCGACTTCCAGTAGGTTTCCAGAATCTAATTAAAGCTGCCTGAGGTCGGGCCCAGAGTACAGCGTGAATAGTAATTGGGCACAGATTGGCTCCGAGCTGTGGTCCTCTTTGAATCAAGAGGACCACAAAGATGCCCAGTGCAGTAATGGGAAAATTCACACAGATGGAGCAATGGATGCTTTTCAGAGGTTGGGGTTCAAGGCAACACATTGTATTCACATTCCTTCATACCCTGGCACCTCCCTCGCTCTCCGACCTGCTCATGCTCCCACTCTGTCTCTGTACGTCACTTCGACACCTTCTCCCAACATGAACTGCGGTGCATAGGTGTAAATTGCTGCTGTATTTGCTTCCGCTCCAGCCCGTCCACTGCATGTAGAATAATAAATGGTATAAGAAGGTGTAAAGGTGAATCAGTACAATTATGGGAATGAAATTCACACATTAGCTTAAACACAGTCAAACTCTATAAACCATTGGCAGGTGGGCCTTCTGCCCTCTGCCCCCACCCTCTAGACATCCATCTCACAGTCCCTCCACCTCGCCCCCTCCCTTGCCTCCTTCAAGATCCATCTCAAGACCCTCCTCTTCGACTGTGCTTTCGATCACCCTGTTTCCCCCTCCTGCCCTGCACCCTCCCCGAACTCCACCCCCAGCTCAGGTCCAAAACTTTGACTGTCCAGTGCCTTGGGACGTCCTCCCAACGTGAAAGGCGTACAAATGTAACGTTGTTGTTGTAAACCATCAGATACCCAGGAAATAAACAAGTACCGTATAAACAGATATATTTCATAATGTTGTAATGAACATAACTTCATTAAATGTGAACCAATGTTCCAGTTTATCATTGCGCATTCTTAAAGTGATTTGGCACGATAATTGATCTGCAATTAATTTCTTGCATGTTTTGCGTTATATTTGTTCAGCTGCATGAGAAGGCACAGCAGATCTACAGCACCTTTCTGTCCAGTAAATCCTCAACTCAGGTCAACGTAGAGGGACAGTCACGCCTCAGTGAGAGCATGTTGGCCGAACCTCATCCCCTAATGTTTCAGAAACTGCAAGACCAGGTAACCCTGTTTCATATACATCTCAGTGGCTGAATTGGCACTGACTTAACTGGTTCCAATTAGTGTTATGTGTTCCGTTGATACTGTCAACGGGTGAGTTTTCAGCCACTTTGCGCCCGTTCTTTCAAACGCTCTTCTGAAATTTGGCGTCTTGCTCCTTCCCTCTCTGCCTTCAAACCCAGTCCAATAATCTCTCTTCCTGACTGTGCCTTCAGCCACCTCCGCTCTTTCGGGTGGGTGTTTTGGAAGATGAGATCAGTCAACAATAACAACAACAGCTTGCATTTATATAGTGCCCTTCGTGCGGGGTAGCGTCCTGGAGCGCTTAAATGGGGCGAACGGCCTTCTAGGTCTGTTAGCTCAGGGTATCAAGGGATACGGGGCAAGGGCGGGGAATTGGACTTGAGGTACAGATCTTCTGGAATGGCGGAACAGGCTCGAGGGGCTGAATGGCCTACTCCTGTTTTCTATGGTTCGTTGAAACCGATCAAAAACAGCGGCACAACAACTTGCATTCACACAGCGCACGTCATACGTGGTGGCAGCTCGGAGCGCTGGGATCTTGTGATCCTTTCCCGTCCCCATCTCTCACCAGCTCACCACTCGTTCCTACACAGATCTTTGAAAAGCCTCCCAGACCTTTGCTCATCAGCCAAGCCGTTGAAACATGTCAACAAGCAGTTTTGACAGAAATATGCAGAGTGGTAAAACCGTGCACAGGTTGATCTTATCACCTGCGTGGGAGTCCGGAGTCAGTACTTACCTGGGCACCAAACCTTATAAAATCTTTCCATCACATGAGTAAATAAGCCTTGGAGTCGTGCTCTGGTGTCTGTAAAAGGTGCCATTGTTCGTGCAGATTTGTTTTTAACAAAAAAAGCAAAAGTCGATCAGTCCTCGTCACTCTCTCTAGTCGTTTTCTCCTTCCTCTGGCGTGTGCGGGCTGCGCTGAGTGAAAGCTCTTGAAGTGTAGAAAAATTCCTGTGGCCCAAGTGAATACAGGCTTCGAGCATCGAGGCTCGATGAGGGTGTGTCAAAACTGCTTCATGGTCAGAATGTACTGATTTGCTTGATTACCCTCTCTCGCCTTTGAGTCAAAAGATCGTGGGTTCAATAATAATAATAATCACAATCATAATAATAAAAATATAATAATAATCAAGCACCAGAAACATAGACTACATATTGTCGTCATGTCCAGCCCTCGCACTATCTGATTAGATTTAACAGTGTAGCTAAGTATATTCACTGGACAATTTGTAAATAATAATAACAATCCTTGCATTTGATATGGTGCCTTATCACGTCTTCAGGACGTCTCAAAGCGCTTCATAGAATGCACTGTAAAGTGAATTGACTGTGGATTTTGTGGGCGAAACGTGGCAGCCAATTGCGCACAGCAGCGTCCCACACACAGTCGCGGATTGAAGTGACCAAATTATTATTATTTATTTTTTTAAATAAAAAAACGCTTTTGATATTGATGTAAAGACCGACTGTTGAGACTTCTTAAGATAGGTTCTAGTGTTTGTGACTTTCAAGTTTCTAATCTGTCTTCCTGATTGACAAATGTTGGTTGAAACGCGGAACCAACCATAGGAGAGGAAGTGACAAATAACTTTCACAGGGTGTGAGAAAAATGAGCGGATCTCTGTGAGTGGCTCTCTGTAGCGCTCTGAGACACTACCTTGGATGAGGGGGCGCTATAAAAATCGCAAGTTGTTGTTGATGTAGCAGTGTGGTTGGAATGACTTATGTGCAACCCTGGCAACATTTCGTAGCGGGGATAGGGTTCAATTTCAATCTATTCCAAATCATTTTCCAATTAGTTTGTGTTCAGGGCAATGAAGCAATCTTCTGTTTTAATTTCAACCTCTTGTGTATCGTTGCTGGGTCAAAATCCTGGAGCACTACCAGCGTCCCCAGTGAGAGTGATAAGTGCAATTTAGAGAAATAATAATCCGTTCATTTGACGCAGTGGTATTCACGTCAGGAGGACATCTCAAAGCACCTCACAGGGTATCTTGTAAAGTGGAGTAACTGAGTATTCTGTGGGTGAATACAACAGCGGATCTGCACACAGCATTGTCCCACAAACAGGAAGCGATAAAGTGAATGAGCTTTGTGACTGGACATTAATGGGATCTTTAACGTCCGCCTAAGCAGGCAGACAGGACCTTGGTTTAATGTCTCATCCAAAAGGATGGCACCTTAAGTGTCAGCCCATGTTATATGGGTTCCAAATCCCACATTGAGTCCTCAACCCACAGGCGTCTGACTCATAGACGAGAGTGCTACCAACTGGGCCAAGATGACGCACAAAATATATAACTGTATAAAATATAGAAAATATAAATACCTAACACAATTTTCAGCAAAGAATCCACAGTCCCATGGTTTACACTAATTCAAACTGATGGGATGTGGAGCACAAGTGCGAGTCATGCTCCAAATACCAATTCATCAGCGTTGAGCACTTTTGAGACAGTACCTGCAGAAGGACCTGAAATATGTTGTGTGCCAAAGTTCAACTCAAAATATTTTTGTGTTAAAAGATGACAAGATAGATGCTATAACAGCATTTCCATTTCCCAAACCTGCAACTCTGGCACATGGGCTATATGGCTCTTTTACAAGTAGATATTCCATTAAAGATGAAACAGCAAAGGCTTTGAATGGGGTAAACACACATTGGTTTCCACTGAGTTTGAGTGTTTGAGGTGAATCGGCAGTAATGTATACAAACTGAGGTTGACGCAAAAGGCAGTGGAGTCTCGGTGCTCAGGTCGCCTTGAAGAGATGTTTGAGGGGAAGCTGAATCTTTGGTGTCTCAGTAGAAACACAAAGTGTTAATCCTTTCACCCAATAGTCCATTGAAATGCTTTGGGTGGTCTCAATGGATGGCTCAGGAATGTTTATGATGGAACATCTTTTCCTCCATTCCCCATTTCATGCCGGTCCAGAATTGTTTTATTTCTTTCAGTGTTTGAATATTTTTTTTCTCTCCCGCGCCCCCACCTTCTCCCCCTCCCAGCCTTGTCCACGGTCAATCTTGTAATTCCACTTCCCTGGGACGCAACCCCTGTGTGAGAGGCGCTATATAAATGCAAGTTGTTGTTCCCATAGTTTTTTCCATATCTCATTGATACCCTTCCTTTCCGTATCTATCTTCCTCGCCTTTAAATATCTCAATCGAAAACACACAATGGTATCACGCTGGGAAAAGTGGCAAACTTTTCCCATATGCTAGTCCTGACCAGTATAAAATGAAATCACATATTATAGATTTCAATCCTGGACAGCAAAGTGCCAGCTGTTCCTTTCTAGTTCTTATTAATTAGGCTTTTTGTTCGAACACGCTAATCAAACCAGAGACTTGCCGGGTTGAGGCCAGCACACTGGACTCATTTTAAAAAAAAGCTTGATGCCGTGATGGGACGACGCTGTTGTGCCCAATTGGCTGCCACGTTTCGCCCGCAAAATATTCAGTCAATTCACTTTACAGTGTATTCTGTGAAGCGCTTTGAGGCGTCTCGAAGATGTGATAAGGCTCTGTGTCAAATAAATATTATTTATTATTTTTATTATTATCTTCATCTGATCCGACCAGGTGATTTCCATTTGAAACAGCTTTGCTTTCTGTTAGTGAAACAAAACACCTTTTGCCGTGGTGATGGGTGGTGGTGGGTGTGGGGGTGGGGGGTAGTGGGGGGTGGATGTCGGTTGCTGTTTTTCCTGGTCTCTTTTAACAGATTTTTTGACGTAATGGACTTTTCTCTTGCAGATATTTACCCTCATGAAATACGACAGCTATAACCGCTTCTTGAAATCCGCAGCATTCCAACGCGCCCAGCAAAAGGAAGAGAGCAGGAAAGGTTCTCCAGACACAGACGAATCTGTACCCAAAAGGGCATCCAGGATTTACAATCGGTAGCCAGGAAGACGGAAAGTCTTCAGTGCCACTGTGCGCTTTTGTTTGCTTTTACTTGCTAGTGGAGTGAAGACATTTACGATGCCCGTCTGGATAACAGTTGACCGTTATTGGTGGCGCAAGAATAGGAACGTGCTTGTATTCTGCGCCAGGTAGTAATCAGCACCCCCTCAGGTCAGGTAAGGCACAGGAAAAACACGACTGCCACTCTAAACGTTGCAGACTCTTACACTTAAATCTGAGTCATCGGGATAGACCAGGCGCTGTTCCGACTTCAACCTCTGACGTGAAAGGCAGCGACGCAATTACTGCCTTCAGAGCACTGAGACCGCAACTGCCAGCCATCTCACACTGCCGACCTCTGTTGCTAGAATCCACTCGTGTTCCCCTTTCTGTCAGGGGAAGACAATTGTGTCAAACTATCGCTTTGGCTGCACTAGTCCTAAAGCAGACAGCACAGCTGGCCCTCGCTTTACTGAATACTGCCTACGTCCAACTATTTTAACCAGGCTAGTTAGTGAGATATGCAGAGTAATACTGGGTAACATTGATCAACAGGGATGTTACACTGAGGACCGCCAACCTTATCCGGCTGGCAGAACGACACACTTCTGTATAGCGACCCGCGCGACTGAAATACACCCCATTCCTCACAGCGAAACATTGGTGCTTGTTATGTCAACTAATCTGTGGCGGTGAATGACCCTTCAGGGAGCTTATCGTGAGCATAACCTGAATAGGATGGGAAACTAACTGAGGTGGATTTAGAATTGACCCCGAGCTTAATAATAATAATCCTTGCATTTGATATAGCGCTTTTCACGTCAGGAGGACGTCCCAAAGCGCTTCACAGAACACACTGTAAAGTGAATTGACTGTATATTTGTGGGCGAACGCGGCAGCCAATTGCGCACAGCAATATCCCACAAACAGTCGTAGATTGAAAATGACCAATTTAATTATTGTTTTTGGTTTTGGAGGATTATTATTAGGCTCTGTGTGGAGTAAGGAAACTTGCCCGAGGTTTCGCCCTCTGCCTGGAATTGAACTCAGGTCTCTCACTTGCAAAGCGAGTGCTCTAACCACTGAGCTACAGGACTCCACAACAGGACTCCTCAGCTTGCTGAGATTGGGACGTGTTTCAGTTCTGGTTGATAAATGTGCAGATCACATCTACTGTAGTATCCTCTGTGTTTTACTGCGTCTAATCATTTCAGTGTCTTGGTTTGTACGTCGAATTAACAGTTCTTGATACAAGTGGGAATCTATTGTTCCCAATTAACCACAAGATACATGGCTCGTAACTCGATGTCAAGTGCAATCCATTTGAACCTGTTTTATTACCAGGTAGAGTTTTGAGCGCTTATTTTTATTTTAATATGACTTTCGGTGATTATTTCGCTGTTTTTTTTTTGCTAAAAATACAGAGTTTTATCAGTTGTTTTTATAGTGTGGTTTGGAATACTTGTATGCATGGTGATGGGTTTACCCGCATGTGTTAGACACGTGGCTCTGGCCAAACAAAATCCTTTTTTTCCGTTTTTTTTTAGCTTTAAGATGGAATAAGATTGGATGAAACCATTTGTTGGGAGAAGTGGAACCAATCTGTTTGCGGCTGTAAATAAACACCTGAATCAGATTCTTACAAACATAGATTAGATAGTTTTCTTTTAGGAAATAACATTATGGGAGTACAGTACATAGGTAGTTCGGGACATATGTGCATGCGACCGCCAGGAAAGTGGAAGGCGAACTAGATGGATCTTGGTCTTTTCTCGTCTAGCATTTCTTATGTTCATATGAGATGTCTCAAAGCGTTTCACAGAATATACTGCAAAGGGACTGTATATTTTGCAGGCGTTAATCAATGACAGGTAAAACTGCAATGTGACCTCCTGCGATTGTCCAAGGAAATAGCAGATTAGTTATTAACTCTGAAAAAGGACTGGGATTGTCTTCTTCTCACCAGTTTACACTGTGGCTATGGTGGAGGCGGAAACGTAATAACTACTTGACGTTCAAAAGGAAGCGAAGGTTAGAATATTTACCCTTATTCGCCTGTTTGTTTTTTTCAAAAATTGCCATTATTAAAATAAATGTCGGTTGCAAGAGTTTCAATCTGTTCCTATTGATGGGTTTTAGGGGAAACCTGCATTTGTACATGATGTAATCTGCAGAAGTATTTTTGCACCAATGGCCGGTGAATTCTTTTTATATGCGTGTGTATAGGTGTGTGACTTATTGCTTCCTTTAATGTAGAATTGTTCTACCTGCCTACCTGCTTGCTGTACCTAAGCACTGGTTACCACTTGAAATTTGTGGCTTAATTACGCACAAGTGCTGTGTCGATGTGAGCGTAACTTGCATTGTGTGTGCAAAGTTTCATTGTTCAGTGGGACCTTACGATAATCCTCTAATAACAGTAATAATAATCTTCAAAGTTGAATGCAATGGCTTTTCAGAGATCAAGACTTAACTTGTACATTTGGGAATGGTATAAGTGTGATACAGTGGTGGCAAGTGAAAAATAAGCTATAAAAAACAAGAGGTGCAAAACTTCACACCCCTTTTCCCCCGGCTTCAAAAGAACATCATTTCTGGCACAAAAGAATGGGGAGACCCAAATCTTATCTGTTAAATAGCAAACATCCATTCATTTGACTAGTTGATGTACAGCAATAATAATTTTTTTGGCCAGTGTCCATGATTTTTTTAATCTAAAAATAACTACTTGCAATAAAAGTCCCACAAACCTTCTGTTTCCCCTAATGTTAAAATAATTAAAAGCGTCCCGTGGTAGACGCGGCAAATTTAGATGATCTGTGGACACTGAATGGTTAACAAAACTACTCCCAGTGTCGCCCCCATCAACCTTCCTAAGACTCAATAGCACAAAGGAAAGGTGACGCTAGTCGTTCTTTTAATCACAATTCAGTTTTTCTGAATGTCTTCTCACATGTGTTCTTGTCTTATGTCTTGTGTCTCTTTTCAAAGAGCCGGCACAGACACGATGGGCTGAATGGCCTCCTTCTGTGCTGTATAATTCCATGATTCTATGTGTGGTCAGTGTGCAGACAAAAATAAATTAAACTGCGGTGAATTATCACAGTATTTCTTAGAAAAGTCTTTCCGCAACTCTGTCCCAGCGACCATTTCTGCCATTGTCCTCAAGTTATCTCTTCCAGATTCTGGTACGACATTTGGTGAAAAGGATTGTAATGATTGCCTGTATTGTAGCTGCGGGCAAGCTTACAGTATTAATATTTTATTCACGGATTCAAATAGTCACAGAAAGGTGAATTCGGGAGGATTTTTTAATTAAAAATAAATCCCTTTCTGACAAATTGCACACCTCTATGGTTTTTTTTGTTGGGTTTATCGTGTTTACATATTAAGATACTTGTCGGTAGTGTAACTAATTTTGTATTTGTGTGTGAATTGTTTGAATATTAAATTCCAAGTTGCCTTGCTGGTAAAGATTACGTTGGGCGTATTATTTTTTTTTCTTTATCGGGTATCGAATCATTGAATAGCACAGAGGAAGACTTTGAGTCTCAGGTTTGTGAAGGTTCCAGTTTCTCCTTTGGATCTACTCAAATTCCAGTCCTCACACCATTTTAATATTTATAATGATAATAATCCTTGCATTTGCTACAGGGCCTTATCACACAGAGAATTCTCAAAGCGCTGCCCAAAAACACTGTAAAGTAAATTGACTGTACATTTTGTGGACGAAACGCGGCAGCCAATTGCGCACGGCAGCGTCCCACAAACAGTCGTGAATTGAGTGACCAAATTATTATTATTATTTTTTGAAGGGATTGTTAGCCCTGGAAAAGTGATCCGCCAATCAACTACCAACTACTCACTGCTGGGTAAACAGAGGTGTGTGGAGTAAGGAAACTTGCCCAATGTTTCGCCCTGCCCCGGGAATCAAGCCCAGGTCCTCTCGCTTGTGAGACGAGCGCTCTAACCGATACGATACAGGACTCCATTTGTATAACACATTGCTCCAAACTGCATATAACTCCCAACTATGACAGTTAGTTGTAATGCTGCTTACATTTGATAAAACACCCTGTCAGGTCGCTGAGTTTCGGATCTCCACTGTAAAGTGGAGTGATTGTACATTTAGCAGGCAAATGGGGCAAGGGTGGTTGCAAGTCAGATCAACCGGGCAAGGCTAGTTTCAGGCCCTTTTGCAATCTTGAAGTTACCCAAGTTCTGTGGATCCCTACGGTCTGCTTTCTTTAATTAAACAAGAGCCCCCATTCTCCTAGGCTGACAAAACAGATTGCTTGCTTCATAACTTGACGGGTATTTACATGTGAGAGTTCTATGATATGTTTATCGCGCTTGTCTCCTGCCCCGTAAGTCATTTAAGATACCTTAAATATGGTTTCCCACTTGTTCCGAGAACAATGCCCGCTGCCATCATGAACTGTGATGGATTTCAAACCTCTCGTGCTAATTTGCAGAGCCTGCACACACTGTTGTTTTTGGATACCTTGTCTGTGTCTCCATGAATCACCAGGGAACACATTGCAGTGGTGTAGTAGTGGCTGCCTGTTAGCTTTGGCCCTGAGCCAGCGTCTCTATTATTCCGCGTGAAGCGCAGCGTGGTCTGGCTCTGTGTGCTCGCACGATCCTGTAAAGTTTCCATCTCCATCTCAAGGTGACATTTGATTCAACGAGGAGCAAATCCCACTTTTGTTCGAGCTGTTGCATCGTGTTAACCATTGAAACGAAGGTTGGGAGCAACGTTTTAGACGCTATTTTCTGTTTTTATTCTTTCTCCTCTCTGTTATTCCAATTCAGTATTTCAACAGCAACAACAAGTTACGTTTATTCAGCACCTTTCACGTTCGAAGGACGTCCCAAGGCGCTCTTCACAAGATCACGAGAGAAGTTTGGATGAAGAAGTCCCTTTGGCTCATTTGACCTCCTCACTCCACTGTCCTCTCATTGCAGGATCAAGATGTTTCTTAAAAGAGAACAGAATCCAGGGCTCAGCCACCCTTCCTGGGTAATTCCAGGCAGAGGGCGAAACCTTGGGCAAGTTTCCTTACTCCACACAGAGCCTAATAATAGTCCCTCCAAAACCAAAACCAATAATAAATTGGTCATTTTCAATCTACGACTGTTTGTGGGACATTGCTGTGCGCAATTGGCTGCCGCGTTCGCCTGCAAATACACAGTCACTCCAATTCACAGTGAATCCTGTGAAGCGCTTTGGGACAACCTCCCGACGTGAGGTAACAAATGCAAAGCACAGGCACATCGATTCATTATTGGTGCTTTGCCTAATGAAAACGAAACCAAGTGTCAAATTATTTGCCGGCTCAATGTCAACCAAGATGATTTTTTTTTAAATTTAGAATTTCCTGAAGTGTGGAACAGGAATTACCCCGATTGACTTCCGGCTCGCAGATCATAGCTCTCGCACGATGTTCAGCGGAATCGTGGCTTTATATTATAGCCCAAAAACCAGAGTCCTAGCCAGGAATCTGAATCGTTCATCTCATAGCTGTTTGTGGGGTCGTGTGTTAATCGCTGTCGAGTTTCCCTATTAAAGCAATCTCTCTACGCTTGATGGTAATCACTCACAGAGCACTTTGAGATGTTTGCTTCAGCCTCCACTGCATTCTAGAGTGTCCCACACTGTCCTCCCAGGTCTCTGCAACCTAATTCGACTCTGTATTCTCTCTCTTTCTCTCTCTTTTTCTCTCTGTGGCTCAACAGTGAGGCCCAATGAATGGGAATCAGCCACAGCTAATA